GTGGATATAGAGTTTTATGAGGTGGGGAAATAGGATAGGCAGAGAAGAAAATTTTTAGAAGTAAGCGTAAACTGAAAAAATGTAGTCGAAATTGCTTCCTGCGGCGCTGGGAGCAGTTTGTTCCGCATGTAAATTGAAGGTGTGCGCGGCGCTACGCGCCGCGGACTATGCTAGTCTACCTCGAGAACGGTAAGTTGGACCACATGCAAGTTGAAGTAGACGATCTCCTTTACTAATCTAACTCCAGAACGGTAAGTTGGACCACAGGTAAGTTGAAGTAAATTTCAATTTTTCGGGAAATTCAAGAAACCTGCAATTTGATAATTGGGCTTTCCTGCAATAAGTCAAATGATAATACAGATTAGGAAAATCTGTAGATATAAGTCAACGACACTTCTAAATACAGTAAAATAAAAATTAATTTAGCACTTATTAAAGTATATTCCACCGCGTGTCCTAATTTCCCGCCCATAACCACCGTTTTCGTCGGAAATCATGCAGGACGTAGGGATTAATGAGTGGGGCTACTTAAGCTACTGTTGCCCATTTTAAATATTAATTTGACACAGGACACCTGTTTGAGGCGAAAAAAACTTTCATAGAAAGTAGCTTCTGTCTAATTAAAACAGGGTACCATCTGTGAGAATTTAAGCCCAGAGGGTGTCGTAGTTTAAACTTATGAACCCAATAATTTTTAATTTTAAACATTCACAATAGTAGTCGTCCTTTTTCGGACACTTGCGTATGTTTTAAATCTAGCAAAGCCTTTCTTACCAATTTCTGCTAATTTTCTAGTCAAAGAATATTAATGATTGCGTGCTTGTAGTCTAAAGCAACTCACAGGGCTGGCAAAGTGACCCAACCCCTCCTAGAAACCGTCCCACGCTTTATAACTGATTTATAGTTATCGGTGCCGCTACTAAAACCAAAAAGTACGATCTTAATTTAGAACCTTACTTAGTGATACGAGATTGCAGAGCGTGGAAGAAATATGGAGCTAATTACTGCTCATGATGGGAAAGAGAGTACGAGACGCCATTAAGTTGTGAGCGCTTACAAATAGGAGGAGTATGTGGTTGGACAAAAACTGACATCCGAATCAACGGTCACAAAATCGCGAAAAGTAGGGAAGTACATGGAAGCTTCACCGACCACACGTCACCCCTCTTTTGCTACACAACGCCGATGATGGACTTGCTATAGGGCAACCGATGCAGTGAACAAAAAAACAGAGCTGTAGAGGAAAGTTAAATCGAAATAGCTTTCAGCCAACTGTCATGAGTGCACTACGGATAAAAAATAGCTCCAGAGCCTTCACAGACCGTCCCACACAGGCTGACAGGGAGTAATTACGGTGATGCCGAAGAACGTAAGCAACTCCAGACTATGTCTTGATGAACAGTCACTGATCGTTAGCAGAACTCAGTTGTCCCGTCCGGCATCAGGATTCACTCTCAAGCCACCTCAGTAGCCGCACAGCGGCTAGTAGATCAAGCAAATGCACAGTGCTGGCAATGACAACGGAGGCTGGAATGACCATTTCTGGCTCATTAGCCGTCATCTACCAGCCATACCCAACCGCGGATAGCACACCACCCGAGGCTCGAATCCATGAACTGTTGAGCAGAAGTACAACGCCCTAACCGTCTGGAGTGATGCATCACCTAGGAGTCGGTATGACTGGCTGACAACGGCTAGTGTGCCAGAAATGGCCATTGCAATTTCCCTTGTCTTTTTCAGCAATGTTCATCTACTCCTGGAACAGCCGTTCCTGGCCTCTTTTCCATCTTTGTCGGGGCACGCCATAGTTCCAGAGCCGGAATGATCAGTCCGTCGCTCCATGTGATCCAATGGTCTCGATCACCGTTGGCAGCTAAGATGGAATAGGACTATCATAGCAGTGCAAAAAGCGAAGTATTTTGAGTCATTTTGATGTTGCTAAATAGGAAGGGATTTGGGATATGCTAAATGCGAAATGTTTCGCCTTACAAATTCCTTAGTAGTCAAGCTGTTGAAGCCACGGGGAAGGGATGTGTTGGCAAAAGGGTCTTTCAGTCAACAGTCTGGAACAACGTTCGGTTTATTAAAGCAATTCTTGAACGTAATTGGTGGAGAGAGACAATAGCTAAAAGCCCAAGAGCACAAATAAACGGGAAGACAATAGATCGCTGGAACAATAACACTCAACTTGACTGAGAGCAAATGCAAAGTGCACGGTTAGAAACGAACTAGTGACAGCCGGTAAACTAAAAATAGACCACTGTTTATAATATGGCAAATAAATCACATTCTAGGAAAACGGAGATGCCATTAGAGGCTGCCGTTACGCGGTTAACTTTACGGTCATGACAAACGGTAATTACCCACACCAGAAGCAAGATCCGCGGTGCATTTTCTTAAAGCCGGGCCTCGGATATGAAATCATTAAGTCAATATATGGATTTGGTGCCGGCTTAAAGAGCCTTGCGTAGTCACCTTAAAGACTAGTGCTGCTGATGGTTTACCGTCCCTTCGTCCACCATCCTATAACTGTTGTTTGTTTTGTTGTTGCTTTATCCTCGGGAGGTGAACGAGCCTGCATGAATGAAGAAGTTGTTCCAATTATCGAAGAGTTCTCCTTTTCCCTATGTAAACAGACACCTGGAACTCGAACGGTGCCTCAATTCATGAATGTGTTTGGTCATTATAGCGAGGAATTGTTGCCACAAACCTTCTGCATTCGACAGTGATGATTTGTTGCCCCATCCCTTTCGGTGTTGTAATTTCGTAGCGTATCCGTCTGTGGGCCCATCAGTGTTACCTGTATGGTCGTTCTAAAATACCCTGACAGTGTTTTCTAGTCCACTTTTCACTTTTTCACATACATCATTTTTTCATGCTGCAAAAAAGTATCTTTTTCTCTAATTAGAGAAGATGGGACTGTCAGGAGGATTATCTGAGAAAGTAGAGCTGCTCTTCTGAGAAACTTTTTTCCTGTAACTGAAGTTTCAACTAGCTTAGTTGGATCCCCATTTTAAAAGCTTTTACTTCCACAAATCACCCATAAATTTTAAATGACAAGGCGACCGATCAACTTTCTTCTTCTTTGCTCTCTCATCTTTTTAACAGATGTCTGCGCATTTCGACGGTCGCTGGTGTCACGCGTCGTCACCTTGCTGGAGGATGCTTGTAATTCTGCCCGTTCTTTGAATGAGTTCGTCATGGGGCCGTGTCTAATTGGTTTATTTATGTTCGTTGTCCCTGTCAAGCATTCAGATGTGTGACGTCGCAGAGCCTTATAAGCTAGAGGAAGGTAAATTTGCCTATTTATATGGCTAAATTCTGAGTAGAAAACTCCAAGCGTAAACCATACTACGGTTTATCTGCCGCAAGCTAAGATAGTCTTTTACCCAGTATGAATCGGAAGCTTTAAGGTTAGCTTTAGCTTCCCATTCTCATTCTGAAATTATGTGGGTAGGCGTTGAATTTTTTTCCACTATTCCTCACATAGTGTTAGTCTTCGTTATAACGCATATTTTGTAGAGAAATGCCGAGGTTTTGGTAGACGGCAGTCTCTCATTAGGTTGCCTCGTGTGGTGAAGAATTGTTGTCTAGTTTCTAGCCCTAATCCAGCGGGTTGTAACACTCAAGAGACCACCTCCGAAATAACGTTTATGAAGAGAATGGCGTTGCAGAATTCAGCTGCTGGTAATTTTGTCCGTCAACTGTTTACTTGACGCTTGCTTCGCTTGATAA